CCTGAACTTGGAAACTGCATTAATGTGGAAAAGGAGGAACAGCAAAGCCATCTCCTACGTTATTCCGCGAATTACACGGCAATGCGAAATTTCATTAAAACAAGAGAGAGTGCATCGTCTCTTATCGGATCTTATAATAGGATGACATTAACGAAGATCAAAGTGTACTCGCAACAAATAAGAATCTCTCGATCTATTTTCTTCCTTTAATTCGCGATCCGCCGATACCCTCCTTCCCAGCCTAATTAGCATTTTCTCTTGGATCCTATAATTAACTATGAAACAAAGAATTCTTAATAGAATGAAAATACAACTATGTTTCATACTCAAGTTTATATAAGCGTTCCACAAAACAGCCCGGTTGATTACGTAATGACAGCGCAATTGTAGCGCATACTTTTTATTCGATCTAAAATATACCCGAGGTACTTTCAAGTTTCTAACTGTATATAACTAATGTCTATTTACCCACATATCGACGGCCCGATTATAGTTTGCTTACGCAATTCGAGATGCAAGGAGAATCCCAACAAATCTCATCGAAGCCCGCTGAAAGCTCATTGAGATCGCTTCGGTATCCGCTATCGCGATAATTGCGGCTCGTCGACAAAGATCAGGCATTGGCACTAAAATGGGCATAAAACCCACGCGAGAGGCCTTTCGCGTCCGCTTAATTTGCAAGGCATTAACCTTATTATTACGGCGGTAATACGGGCCGCGAGTTTGCCAGGGAACAACGTGTGGGGCCGGGGAAGGGTGGTTGCACGCGAGCAATCTTTACAGCCCTTCTCGGAAATGAAAAGTCGTGTGCCTCCCCCTCTCCCCTCCTCTTTCCCCGGTCGCGAGCGCACAACACTCGTTCCTCATTTTTTCTCTCCTACCTCATGAACCTGTGCTCCTCCTTTTTTCCTTCCTCCTCTCTCTCTCTCTCTCTCTTTCTCTCTCTCTCTTGCCACTCAACACGCTTCCCTTTTTTTCTGGTTGTGAGAGTTTCTCTCTACTCGCCCCGAGTAACTGCACGTTAAGCGCAATTTTTAAAGCAACGGATGGCAAAAATTGCTTCATTCGTATAACTATTGGCGCGACGCAGCCATAAGACGCTTTTTTCGTTCGCTACTGAATTGTTCAAATTGTCTCGCGAGAATCGATTTTGTAGAAACGTGTAGTTTTTAAATGTATCAATTATACATTTTCTCGAGCAACATTGATTAACTGTGTGCCATCAATGTCCATAAAACAATAATATCCTTGATAGAAGACGACATGATGTAACTTCGAACTTCGATAGACCCAAAAACTTTGACATTGCGAATAAAGAGATTAGATTTATTCGCGAGTTTCTCCGGATGAATTCCACGTGTACGATATCGTCAGTGTACGCCTGAGTATGTGCGTACGTACGATACGCAAGCGCGCACGTGCATCGACGAAAACGTTGCCGGGATCCCCGATAATTGAAACCCGAAAACATTATCTGACGAGTCGCATTATCAACGTATATATGAAGGCCGAGAGTTCAATTATGCACAATAAGACCATTCAACAGTTAATCACTGTATATCTGGCGGATCAATTACCGGATAATGTAATTTTATGCTTCCCGATTGTAGCGTATTGTGAAGCTGTTACGTCATCGACAGAGAATTACAATATGGGAAGTCTATTTGGCGTTTTACAACTTATTTAAAGTGTACAAATCACGATATAATCTATATAAGCACAAAATTACACAACTGCAGATATTATTTTCTAAATTATGTGTTCATATTTGTAACATAGGTATTTTAAATTCCCAAATAATATGAAATAATATAAAACGTACTTTCAAAATGAGAGATGGAACCTGTTTAGTATTCATCTAAATTAAAGTTTCTAATTATACATGGAGAACCTCTTCTGCCGAAAATCAGTTTCCTCCTGTGTACTCATGATATACTGCCAGCCACTCTCTTTCCTACACGCGAGAAGATTTCTCAAGTGTATTTGAGGTTTCCTCTTAAAGCTGACCTAAATGCGATTAATGAATATGCAGTCCTATAAATTCTGACATCAGAATTGCAGTAACAATTACAGCGAGATATACAAGTACATGAGGATGAGGGATGGTCCAGCGGCAATTTCTTTATCTACATGTTCTTAATTTAATTAAATTGTGAAGCATCGGATTAATTCAGCTGACAAAATTAAACATGTCGTTACTAAGCAATAGTATCTTTCTAACGGCTATTCCAAGATTAGAAAAATACCGCGAACGAATTCGTTACATTTTCCGGGGACTATTCGTTCTGCATGTCCCCGGAACACGCGGCGTTATTTACCAAATATATAACCAGAGGCGATCCGCTCCGCGTAAAGGAGCGAGTTCCCGAAGGAGAATCGGTTCAACCCCCGATCTCTAGCCCTCGCCGACCGCGCGCCTCCGGCGGCCTACTTACTCGCGGGGGGAGATTTCTTAAGCAACGAGAGACCGCGACGACGTAGTGCTCCCGCGAGTTGCTGCGCGCGGGCGCCGTTAAAATAGAAAGCGCGACGGCCGCGGCGGTACATTTGCCAGGGACTACCTACTACCTACTCCGGCCGGACGAGCGCCAAGAGGGTGAGGGGATGCAGAATAATCTCACGAGAGAGAGAGACGAAGTTCCCCGGTAAGTAGCCGGCCGGCTATACGCGCCCCCTCCCCCCTGACCGTCGTCGTCGGTTTGAACCTGGGAAAAGGGGGTCAGGTCAGGTCGGCGCGCGCGCGAGAAGGTTGGTGCGCCGCGCCGCGCCATCACTGCCGCTGCAGCCGCCTGCCGCTGAGAAGCTGGGAGAGCGGACCCTGGAGCGCGGGATTAGATTGCTACAGATGGGATGCGAGAGAGTCTGGCCGTATCTCGAGAATGCCAATTTGATTTCGGTACGAAACGGCGGAAGACCGTAAAGTATACAACAAACGCTACGGGTGCAACGAACCCTACGTCGCGACCGAGAGCGCGGGCAGGTCCGGTCTCCTCCGGAGTGATTCTTTCAAGAAGGAATCGCGAAAACGTTTGTATTATGTATCCCGTTTGCTTCGGTGCGCGGGCAGGTACAACGTTATAATACACGTGATATTTGAATAACGATCTCCGTATTTGTTTCCCGCTGAATTGTTGCCGCTTCGGTGGCTTAACTGAATCGAGCTCTGCTTCCTATATCGCTATTGCATCAGCTTATTTAATTATCGTATCGATGAGCGGATGCGTACAGACTCGGCAAATGAATAACGAGAAGCCATTACGGAAAGTATAACTCGTGGGAATATCTTAGAGAGAAAGAGAGAGAGAGAGAGAGAGAGAGAGAGAGAGAGAGAGAGAGAGAGAAAGCTTTCTTTCGCCGACTTTGAGGCATGCGAAAAAGATTCGAGAAATAACGAGTTTTGAATCGCCCGCATTGCCGATAAGAGAGGATCTCGAGAAAAGAGCACGGATACTTCTTATATTTCACTTCAATAACTACGATGTGCTTTACTATAATATTGTATGATGTAATACGAGTTTCCGTCTTTCTATTATTAAATAAAACGGTAGAATTTTTCGCCTTCTCACAGTATGTCAAACGCACGATAACAAATTCCTTTCCTTCTTTAATAAAAAAAATTAATAATCACTTATCTATTTACTCTAATTACATATATTTTACGTATCTCAATAAAATAAAATTTATTTCTAAAAAAAAAAAGTAAACACAAGACTTTGTTGCATTGTATTCAGATAAGTCAAAAATAGTCACAATATTCACGAGAAATTAATGCCTCAATCAATTTGATATTTCGCACGTAAAAACTATACATTGCTACATATCACTTAATATTATAACAGCGGCAGCTATGCTATTTAATGTGCATAATCGAGCTCCAACTCGGCTGTATCCTGCATGATCGTTGCACCCGCACCATCGCAATCGCATATCTCCGACGCATCATCCTATTTCCGTACAATTACGAGTAACATTATCTATGGAAATTGCCACTTACCCGCGCTACTATGTGCGCAAGGATTAAACCCGGCGTATTCAAACCTTAACTAGTGAACGGTCGTTCTGGCAATGGCAGATTTCATCATTAATCCGGGGGAGGAACGGAAAGGGGGCATGGCAAAACCACGGCTTGAGAAACTTCTTTAAATTGGGACGAGGAAGGGAAAGGTGAATAACGGCGGCATTGGTTAGACGGCAAAGTGAGGGAGCGAGAGAAGATTATGATACTGCAAACGCGAACGAGAGTGGAGGAAAAGGAGAAGAGGAACGATGAGTCGTCGTCCGGTGATACCCGAAACGAAGTCTGAACGACGGGGAAACCGATGAAAGCGGTCTCCTATTAGCATTCTGTATAATCTACTTGCGAGTGCATTCGAGCAGCGACGTACGACTAAGCCCCGCAGTTCGGGGAGTACTCGCGGTAGTCTTCGAACTGCGGCAAGAGGCCACTTCGTAAGTTGTACCAGCCAACGGGCCCGCAGACTAACTCGGCATCGGCCCCAGAAGTTCGCATTGGTTTGGGGTTGGATTTCTGCGATTCTAGTGTGCTTACCTTTTCAACAAACTCACGGCACGCGTTATTCCCGCGCGCGCATTCCGCATGTAATATCACGCCGCTGATTCAATGGCGTGTCGCATTAATTAATTTCCTGATATCCAGCTTCTTGCAGCGCTAATTGAATATCCAGCGGTCGAGTGTACGAGCGGGCTACGATAATCGGTATCGAGAGCAAATGGAGAGGCGACTTTGTTTCAAGTCTATTAAGTATTTTAATAATGCTCGTTCTAATTTCCGCCAATATCGTTATAGACGGCGATATAATAAATGAATGAGATACAATAATATGGAAGGAAGAGATGATAAATCGAAAGTAACAAAACACATAACAACTATCGATGTCCTATGGGAATCTTTTAATGAGGCGATATTGACGAAAATAATCGAAATATATAAATGCGACCAATTCATTGACGGAAAAAGAGACGCAGTTTTTTTTACTTACCGACCACTTCGAGATAACCGATCTGACTTTTCATGGGATCCGTGTTTATCTGACACATGTACCAGCCTCGATCGGACTCCCGCACTTCCCGTATGTGAAGGAACCATGTCCGGTGGTCGCTGTGGGAAACCGCGATTCTGTGATTCTTCGTGATCACGTGGCTCGCTATCGTCAAAATAGTTTGCGTATCGACACGCAGCCATGCCACCTAAAAAACAAATAACATAAATGTTATCATTATGTATGCTGTATATGTTAATAGCGGACTATGCAGATAGGTTGGTTCAATATTAAAACCCGCATTAATATCCGAATCATTAATCAATAATAAGTTTAATCGTTGGTCGATTATACATATTGTATACATGAGAGATTGAAATAATAATTATTTTTCATATGCATTTATTACGCTAGTACAAAATTATCTTACTATTGCTGCAAATAAATTTATTTTTGTTTAATTTATTATCTACTCTATATCTATTTTGTATTTATATATATATATATATATATATAATTTATTGTATTCAATAATGTCCACGATATAAAACGGTCAATTTCAACTAATCCTAAAGTCTATTTTTTTGTTTTTCGATTTTTAATGCACAGCGCAGAAACCAATTAACGGCAATGCAATTAAGAGTTAATATCTTATCTAAATAAAATTATTTGCCATGTGCATTTATCGCAAAATCGTTATCTACGTTATTTTAAAACAATGTTTTAAAATTTGTACAGAATGTAGCAATTAGAGTGCGCATTTTAACACAATAACGAAACGCAGTTATTAATCACACGTTAACAATAAGTACTCGAGATGTGCATTTTCGTGTCTTAAGGAAAAGAGCTGTCCCTTTTTTTCCCCGCGGAACGTTCCGCGGCGCGCGGTCGAGTCCGACATCCTTTAATTCATAAGTCTCCAGCCGACTTTTGTATTCCGGTTCAACGGACCGGCGGCGATTCTTTTCCCGCCGTCTACCTTTCCACCAGCATTCGCCTTCGGATTATTCCCCCACGGTTTCCGGTCCGTCCATATCAATTATAATTTTTCACAGCGGCGGCCGTACCCGTGGGTTGGAGAAATAAAACGCCGTGAGATCATCCGGCAAGAGGGGTGGAGGGGGGCGGCCATTCCGTTATTATATTATTCCAACAGTTTAATGCTCTTTTATTCGCGAGTTATTCGCGCCGCGTCTCGTATAACGAAGTTTTGCAGATAACTGCCCCTGGTTTGTTGCATACATACTGTTCGCGCCTAGATCGTCGATCAAGTAATTTATAGTAATTTAGCGAGGCGGACGTGTGCGTATTGAACCGAACGGTGAACAAAATAAACCTCGATGAATTATGGCGTTACGAAGATTATATATAAGTCACAAAGTTATCGCGAACTACAGCGAGAGAACAACCTTTGAAAACGCAATGGCAGTTCAGTAATGAATCTGCGGCGCAGTTCGATATACGGTGTAATCATCAACCGATTAAGCGCTTCCTTTATTGCCATCGCTTTTTGCGAAGCGCTCCGAGTATTGTTGCCGTCGTGTGCGCAACGTGTTGCACACACAATCGGCGAATTAATTAAGAAAAAGGTATGTGTAACATGTTGTTGTGCATCGCTACGCGGCCCTTTTACATTACGCGCCGCCGTATCCACGGCGGAGAATCGGGGCAGACGTTATTGACATTAAATAAATCGACGAAGCATTCTTAACATTTTTCCGCCACGCCGCTGTTTGCGCTCCGCGCTGCACGCTGCACGCTCCTCCCGAGCGTAACATTCGATTACGCGATCGGCGCGCTTTCTTTGTTGGGCGATTCGAGCTCGCGGCACGCGGAGGGGGAGAGAAAGAGAGAGAAAAAAGAGGAGGGTCGCTTCCGGCGTTCTTTAAAGTAATCATTTCCCTCGGCCTGGCCGATGCAAAATGCGCGCACACGAGTCCGCCCCCCGGGGGCACCAAACATCACATGCATGTCATCCCAGAAATTATAACGTAAACGGGTATAACGTCCGCGGGAATAAATGTTTGCGCACTAAAATAGCAATTCCATTATCCTGCGCCTTTGAAGATAGAGGATGCAACGGGAGTTGCACGAATGTTACTCTAACGCTCCGAGAATACGGCAAAAATACCGGCTGTCCGGCAGCGAACGTAACGTGCAACAACGTATACGCAAAAGGCGCACAAGAAGTTACACAAGCGCGCAAATCGGCAAAATGCAACCGCACCCTCCCCTAGCCACGTCGCGTAAATAGCTCTCGCCATTTTCATGGAGTCAGATTTTTCTTAACGGTCCGATTTGCCGGGACGCGCGTGATGACATTCGGATGGGTGGTTCGCTGGCTGGCTGGCTCACTCGCGGATCGTGGATTTGCTCATTGATGGACTGACTCCGTACGATCGCAATTTTAACGATCTGCCCTTTCTCTGATGCTGCAAACGTGAATAAATGTCGCGCCGGAGATGCTTCGCGCTGCCATAGCAGCGCTCAGATATCAACCTTTTATAGAGCACTAGAGTATGATATTTTATTTATCACTCCACGTGGCTGATACACGGCCGATGTTAGGATGTCATCTAGAAGGCGAGCGATACTTTATCACTCGGAAAGTAAAAAGAAAGAGGGGAAAATAGCTTTCATCTGTGATAAAAATTATATGTTGCATATTCCCTTCAATGTGAAAGTTTTTGAAAAAGCGTTAAAAATTTACTTGCTAGCAAAACGCTTTCTTCTCTCTTCGCTAACAGTAAGCGAGACAGAGAAGAAACAAAAGGAAAACGTGCAGTGTGAGATCCATAGATAATTAATTACGTATCCATTATATTCGTGCACAGTCGGTTACCTGTTCGAGTATTATTATAGGAGAAAATGGTGAACAAGTGAGCTAAAAAAGTTCTCCCGCTCGATGAGCTTAAATAAGCTTTAATAATTTAGTTCTTTGTTAAATTTTTTTCAAATTATTATTAATTTTTCTCATTTAGGAAAAGGTTAATTATGTCAAAATAAATAAGTGATGAAACGTGCTTATGAAAATAGAAAAAAATGGGGGAATGTAACGGCTGATACATCTCGTTAATCTGGAAGATATACTCTAGGACGAAAGGACCACGGGAGCTTCATTAGCGAACCGTCTCTCAGAACCGTCCGTCGACCTTTACTCCCACATTCGACCGCGTCGATTACTCGGTTAATTATCTCAGATGACGCTGCTTCAAAGTCACCGGTATGACGGAAAGTACAGAGGGGAGATAGAGATAGAGGGAGAGAGAGAAGATTCGGAACACGTGCGTCTAGTACGGGTCCGACTCTCGGATGCAGATATCAAGCCGGGCGCCTGTAAATCTGCCAGAGACCGGTGTGAAACGCTGGATGGGTTGGATTAGGGCGAGGAGGCAGAGGTCGAGGACTGGTCGACCACCTAGTCGGAAGCACCGCCATGAACTATTGCATTTGATATCCACACCAATGAATGGAAACGTTGAGCGCCCTGTCCAGCGTGGCGCCGCCATCTCTGACCACGATGAACGTGAATGCAGGTATAATGCCCCCGTCGTGCTTCCGCCGACTATGATAACCAAGTATTTACGGCCCGCGAGACCATCGCGCGAGTTTCTGTAATTTACGGAGACTCCGAGAACCCGGCCCGCGTCGGCGACTATGTGTCACCCTCCGCGGGCTTTCCTCGGCGCGGAGTGTCACGATTTTTCTGGGTGGAACTGCGGCGAAGCAGGTGGCACCCTACTGCGCGCTCGCTGGCCTCCTTATCATATACAAAAAATTTAATTTTAATCCTAGCTTGCTACACTCCAGCCCAATAAATCGCTAAACGTTTTTTGTTTTTTGATTATCATAAACATCTTATTCAGAGTCTGTATTTTCAGTTTCTACAGTACAAGCTTAAAAATACTAATTAGAATAAAGATGACAATGCGACAAAAGTCGAGCGATCTCACGGACCGGAGTGTGGCAGATTAAGGACTCGAAAATAAATGTGGCTAGCTAAGGTCAACAGTAGCTCAGGGCAATTTTCCTTCTTAAATAACAAGCACTCCTGTAACTATATGTCTTTTGACGCCATTCTTATGAAATGTTACTTACAAATGACATTCTTGCTCTTAACACGCATGGAATGTACCGTCCATCTCGCCTCTAACAGCACTAATTACGTCGGTACGGTGCTTCCCGCACAACCACAATCCCGGAGAAACCCTCTTGATGTTCGTGTACAAGCCGTGCACACTGATGCATCCCGGCATAAACTTGTTTCGCGCGACGGCTTTCCCGACTTTCCCAACATCCGCGACGTATCCCAGGAAACATTTGGTTCAATTTCTACTTCTCAATTTCCACCTCCCTCCGTATTGCTTCCTCCCAGAATCGGTGGCCCGTTCGCTCACCGTGTTCCTCGAACGGTTGGTGGACCCCCGAAGTTTTTGACAGGTCCGCTCTCAGATGGGGGAACCTAAGCAGAGATTTCGACGAACTTCGTTCGCACGAGCGAGAGATCGCAATTTTATGGTCATCGGTAGTCGCCGGGGATCAGACTCGTCACAAGAGAGAGAGCCGAGATTAGACTAGACTCGTAAGATTCATTTTCAGGTGTATACGTGCCGGCGAATGCGCCAACGATTACGTCGACAGCGACGACGGTTCAGAAAGGCGTGTGTATGAGTTTTACGACTTTACACGAGAAGTCCATCTTGGATCGTATTTCCACACTTGCGACATTCGGGCCCTGCCTACTGGCATCAGAAAACCTCCGTGGTTTTTGCGTGCCTTAAATCAGTGCCAGCTGTTATCTTTGATTAGTCATAGCTTTGCAATTTCATAAATCCTCGGACGGAACACGAATTCGCGAGCGAATTTTTCCCCTTTGTGTTGCATCTTTCAAAGTTCTATGAATGGTACCTACTCTGAAATTATCGGAAGATTACACGCGAGAAAAACGCGTGTAGATATCCGACAAATATTACTCCAGTTACCCATAAACATTACCATTGATTCTGCGCTGCTGTCACAGAGCGACCTTTTTTTTCCGCAAATTTGTTTTTAGTTAGTTTCTTTGCGCTAGCGCGACGGGAAAAAACTTTAAAATTTCTGGGCACTCGTACGCAGTGCCATATTTTAATGTAAAGCAGATATTAATGAAACAACTTTCCAGAATTTTTTCCATCTCGCGATAAAATGTGAGCTTAATGGAAAATTTTC